ATGCCCAGACCGGCCCCCGATAACGATCGTTGGAATCAGCTCAGGACATTTCTACATTGTACCATAGAGTTGAATTAATAATGCATTATCACATCAATATCGTATCATATAAAGGAGTCCAAGTATTTTTTTTTCTTTTCAAACAACATTTAGAACCTGATGCATGTGACAGCCCCGGGTTCCATTAGCTATTATTATTGTGTTTGCTGCCAGTACACTAATATGCACACACGCTGTAGTCACTATTGATTTTTTTTTGTCAGTTTTTGGATGGTTCTGTACTTTGTGTTGTGAAACACTGAGACCTTGCTCAACCCTTTAATAAAATGGCTTCTGTGTCACAACGGCAGTTCACAGTATACGTATGGCTAGAACATCACCTGCCCCACACCGAAATAAAACAAGTCTGTGAGCTTCTGACCTTGACAGAAACAACTTTGATGTCAGGCACTGCCCTCCAGACACAATGTCTGGAGGGCAGGATTTGTCAGTTGGGATGTTAACCTACGTCCCAGTGGAAACTGCGTCTTTGTTTGTCTGTTTGGGTGAGAGGTTTGAGGTTGAGGTGACATAGAAGCCCAGGCTCAATAACACACAAGCATCTGAACCAAAGTATAAACATGTGCAGCTGTAAAAGTGCATGCATGCACATTTATAGACAGATACTCCGTGAAGCATTGACTGTATATATAGCTCTGAACTCGGTGGATAACTTTTGTTTTTTCAAAGGTGAAATTGTTTTGTGCCACTAACAGTTTCTTTCTTCAACTGTGCTGACTAGTGTTAGGAGCAAGTTCTTTATGAGCAACTGAACTGTAAGATCCAGAGCAGATAATATTGTCGGCTTATCTGCCTCTTGGCTTCACATTTCTGCATGTTCTTTGCTTGCATGTTGTCAGTGATAAAACAGGCCAGGAGCAAGAGAACTTTTTCATATTCCTACTAACTTCGACATTAACATTAACACCCACACACCCACATTTACACACAATTACAGACACAAACACATACACACAAAATTTTGTGGTATGTGTTTGGTTGTCTGCACATGTACACATATATGTATGTGTTTGTATGGAAAGCCAAAAAGGTCATATTCACCTGAATTTTTGTACGTGCGTTTCTCTGATATATCTATCGCACATATATTGACACTCTAATAGCATTGTCACCCTCTCCCAAAATCCTGTGCTTTCCTTCACCTTCCAATTTTCACCACTGCCTTTCCCTCTTGAAACATGTGAAAGAAAATGATTTGTGTCTCTGTGAGCTCCATGTCTCTGGGGAACACACACACACAGAGACCTTGAGGGTCAACATGCAATTAAACCTCAGAGGGGCTCTCCAGTCTTACAAGGATGCTAGACATGGAAGGAGGCAGGGCCAGCAAGACAAGAGTGTTAACCTTAATCTGAACTGAACTGCTTGCTGGTTAACCTGCTGCCGTAGAGTACTGCTGCATGTGAACACAGTTTTTCCAGTTTCTCACTGCCGCGGTGATTCACAGTAGCACCGGTGTCTCAGGTTTTCTATCAGACCAACGCTAGGGAGAGACGTAGATGAGGCATGAAAGCCAACTCCAAAGATGTCTATTGACCTTAAATACTGGAGCTACCAAAGAGTAAGCCTATATCTAAATTGAACAAAAGGTTTTTGTCTCATAATTGTGTAGATGGGATCTATCTGCTTCAATGGAACAATGCCACTATGAGAGCATACTGCTAATCATTCTCTATTCTTTCCATTTCAAATCTATCAAACATCTTTGTCTTATGTCTACAGTGTGTAGCCAGAGAGGCTTTGACTTTTTTCAGAGTTGTGATATTGTGGGTGATACATTGTTCACTAATCTTTATTCAAATCCTTTATGACTTGAGTTATCATTGTCTAAAATCTTTTCATAAGACCAACTATAGTCTGACACATTTCTTTGGTATAAATGTGTAAATAAAAAAAAGTTTTTTTCTTAAGTTTCTTGTGATTTATTGGGTTGAAGGGGCACTTTTTGCAATTTCCCTGCCTCCTAAACTGCTGCTAATGCAGTAAGTGCCAGGGGAGAGAGAAAAAACAATTAGGGATGGATGAAAAGGAAAACCTCATTTTTAACATAGCGTTATCAATTTGCAGTCTTCTCTATTTCAGCTAATTTGAAATGTAGGGATGAAGTGGGTAAAATGAAGGAAGGAGTAAGATAAGAAGGCTGGAAGGTCATTATTTCAAGGACAATTTAGTGGCATGAATGTTTTTAACCTGCAGGTGGCCTCTTAATTCAAGACGGTCAAGCTCTACTGCAGTGCCTTTCCCAGAGATGTTTTTTTTTTTTTTCTTTTGCTTTATTCTACAAATGTTTGACGTGAATCTCCCCAGTTAACCCAAGCACCAGGGGCAGGCTCCCTCACAGTCCTTGAGTGCCCTGCTGACATATCAGAAACATGATGACAGTGCATAGTTTCCACTCTCAAATGCCACAGCCTTTTTCCCAAGGTCTTTTGATTAGTTTAATCAGGACATCCTGCTTAATAGCCTTAATCACATTTAATGTCACCATGAAAATATTTAGTTGAGCTAAACATGTTTTATGAATTAAAATCTAGTGTATCAATTGTGGGATGTGTAAAATCACAGATATCTGAATACACAGAAAACAAAATACACTGATGTTGTTGCGACTGAACTGAGATAAGTCATGCCATATACAGGCCATGACTGTAAATGGTTTTATTCCTCCTTATTTTGTAAGATATAGATTCTGACTACAAATCGTGATATGACATTTTTCATTCAGACTATCATTCAGCTTCAGTATTCAGTGTACATGAGCCAAGTATAGTAAGTAGAAAAACATTTTTTAACACAACATCCATCACCAGCTCCAGTCTGACACATAACTTACAATTTGACACAATATTAGTTCTGTTTTATTAGCTGAATAACAGTGTAGTTGACACCACTCCATCTGTGCATTTAGCTGTTCTGTAGCATTACTCTTGGAATGTAAAAATGAGCTAGCCTCCTGCCCTGTGTATGAATGATTGATAACGTTATTTTTATACACAACATACCACATATTGATATTGTAATTTTTAGCAATAATGTGTACCTATCCACAAAATAGATACAGAAAAAAATATTTCTTTGCTACAGTGTTATCAGACTGGTGGACAGGTGATACAGTTTCTTACATGAAATCATTTCTAAATGAGTAACACAGGACTATGGTAAATTATTACTCAAGTTAATATCACACCGTCACATAAATTAGTTTTACTTCAGACTCAAATTAAATTTAAGGAGTCAAATTCTGTAGAACTGTCGAGTTAGATTTTCATGTTGGCTTAAGGATGTTAAGAAGTATAATAACTGACGTTGTTACAGATAACTGGGACACTAGTCTGATGGTCTAATGCACCTCGACTGGGGCAAGGCTTGTGAGAGTATTATGCAACAGCTGATACAAATCCATTTGTTTCTTTATGTTTAATTGAAAGCTTCATGCCCACTATAATCTCTGGGAAATCTCTCTGAAACAATTGCCATCAATTGTCTCAATTGTATGTTTCAGTTGCATTATAAAGAGACCACAATGGGGTTAAAGGATAAGTGTGGTGATATTGTATATTTTTCTTATTGTCAGCAAATCGCATGAAAAAAACAAAACAACAATGAATTGATCCTACTAACAAGTAATTCATGTGTAGCCAAAGTGGGATATCTTATTTATCTGTGCCACTGACCTCCTTGGTAAACTAACTGTAACTATTAAATAAATCAATTAATCCACATCTAAAACAGTCCCAAACAAATTCCTTTCCTAAAAACTATAATGCCTAGCTGTTTTAGGCAATTACTAAAAAAATAGTATTTAAATATATTTGTATAATGTATTTGTTTGTCATGTTCCTGAAAGAGACTGCTTAACTGATGAGAGGAAGAGGTTAGAATCTGACAACAGAATTTATCTTTACAGATGATCTTAAGCGATCATAAGGGAGGAAATCAATCTTTGGAATCATGCTGGAGAAATTCTGAGAGCTCTGTAGAGGGAGATGAAGAATCTAGCTTCTTTGTGGATAAGGAAGAAAATCCCTACAATCCCTAGATGGTGTAGATAAGTGATGATGATACAGTAATGATGATTAAGATGATCACAATGAAGACAATTATGAGGATGAAAATGATGAGGATGAAAATTTTGCCATTGCTCTGCAGGGTTTTGTTGTTTGTCTGCGCGGATGTTAAAAGCAAATATGGCTGTTGGTGCCATCTGGTGCCTTTTGGTATGTTAGGGGATTAGTCATGCTGAACATAAACTGTCTCATGGAATCTCCTTTGTCATTTCAACATTAACACAGCCTTCCACCAGCGAGCCCTAGACTATTTTCCATCTGCATGCATTTCCTCTTCAGGAGCACATTTCCAATTTCCCTTCATCCTCAATCTGACACCTGGTATGTCAGCGCTTTTAATGGATAGAGTATTTCATTGGGTGATACAGATACTGCACCATCACACATGCGTGCACACACAGCTGAGCTAAATTGCTAAATTTGCTAATATTTCCTTTGTTTCTCATAAAAACCTACCACGTCATTTCTCCACACACCAGTGCTTTATAGAATTTCATGATTCACGGTACTGAAGAGGAAAAGGAATTTAATTTCTCTTCGTGCATTTAGGATTATTGTTTTATGAATATCATCTCTTTTCTGGGATTTCAATTAAGGATGCAGATTCCATGGCGATTTGATTCAAAGTCAGTCAAGATTTAATGGATTCCTTTTATTAGCTTCCGACAAATTGCCTTTTTAGTAGGAAGAGCGTTTGCATTATTCATTTGTGAAAGAGCAAGCATTTATGAGTTCATTTAGTTTAGTTCTAGATGAGCTCAGCGACCAGGAGTGGGACTTACAATGACTCATCACAGAGGAGGATGAAACACACAGTGTGAGATGAATCTCATCTGACCCCTGACCCCTTGCCTATCTGTCTTGGCTGTGTAGGTGATCCAGCGCAGGGAGGATGGCTCGGTCAACTTCTTCAGAGGATGGGAGTCCTATCGAGAGGGATTTGGCAAGATCACCGGTGAACACTGGCTCGGTAAGTGGCTCAGGTGTGTGTATATGTGTCACTTCATGTGTGTTTGGCAATGTGTAACTCATGCACATGTCTACTGTGGGCTATTATACCACGGCAGGCCAAACACTGGAAAGTAGGTTATTACACAGTATTGTCAAATCTAGTTGTAGTTTGATCCTAATTACAAGACTTTATAAAACTTTAATCACCTTATCAACAAAATAATGATAGTCACTATGATTCAAAGTCACAAGTACAGTACTCCACCTCAAAGAAGAAAGAATAAAGACACTCTCACACAGAGAGTGAAATAGCAGTGGTGATGGTGATGGAGCGAGATAAAGAGATACCCAAAGAGAGGCAGGCAGAGAGGAATTAGATGACTTTGGCCCTTCATATCATCAAGAATTTGGTAAAAGTTGTAGTCCTGTGACAATGAAAACCACTTCAGTGAAAGCGACAAAGAATATTGCAGCAAATTAAAAGGTGTGTTCAAAGTACCACTTTATGAGAGCTGTCCGTCCTGCACCGCAAAATCACAACACATGCCAAAAGACCAGCAATTCAATTACAATATTTTTAATTTTCACATGAAAAACAGCATAATTTTTTCCTTTTTTTTTTATCTTACAGCTTTGTAACGCTTGCCTTCTGCTTAAAATGTGTATTTTTGTGCCTGTCCAAATCCTTGTTTTTCTTTGCTGGCAGCATGAGTCCATGCCTCCCCTCAAACTTGACAGGAAAAGAATGCCAGCACAGAATGAATTCAACTGCGAAATTATCAACTTTATCAAAGCCAATTCTCTCGTCTTCACACCACTTCTCATTAAATGTACCAAAATATTTCTTCTTCTTGAGGGGAGGGTACTCTTCAGCTTCATCATGGTCATTCTTGTGGTTCAAAGTTAGCTGCTTGCTGATGGAGTAGCAGTGATGACACCAACAACATATTCAGTACATCTTAATTGAATAGACTTTCATATCAGATATTGTATTTATTTTTATCTGGTTAGATTAATAATGTAAAAAAAACTAACTAAAAGTTCTGGAAGGGTTTAAAAAATATACAGCTTGTACTTTCAGTCATAGAGTGGCCTTGTAGATTCTTTTTAATTGGCCTGACATTTGTTCAGGTAACAGGAAAGCATGAGACACAACGTGAAAGCAGGTCTCTCACTTGAGGTGTTAAGTATGAAAATTGAAAAGCAAAAAAAAGCACAAATGAGGGTGAATACAGGACAGGTGACTGAACTAGAAACAAGTGCAGCTGAGGAGTTTGACTCTGTGGCAACATCTAATCACTGTTTTCACACACATAATCAACATCTTGCTGGGATCTCAGTCTGTGATTGCTGCATAATCGCCAGTATTATCCCTGTACACCAAAACATCCTCAGTGACATGCCTCACTGCTATGTTGTTCTTTTCTTTTTTGTTTCAGTCTAGCATATTTCCACAGTCTACATACAGTATAGAGGTGAACTGTGCTTTAAATACTGTTGACCTAGGGCTTGTGCTTGAATGGTGCACTTCTGAAACATTAGACTGATCCCAGAACCTTCAGGGCTGCTGCACTCCCACTTAACACATGCTGTAGATACTGTGACTGCACTGTGATTCATGGCTAACTGAAGGAGTGAAATTGTGATGATGTCAACACTCTCAAGCTGGCCAGATGCCTACTAGTGATGACTCTTCACATCAAAAAAGGTTGATGTGAAAACAACTTATCTTATAAACTTCATAAAACCTGTCATTAAACAAGAAAGTTCATTGCCCAATCAGCATCCATGGGGGAAATATTGGGATAATAAGCGGTTTCACAAGTACATTACTGATCACCAAATCTGGTCTGCTTACACAAAAACACCGGTCCCAAAAATGCTAAGCGTTTGCAGAAATGTTGTTTCCTGAGGAAATTTGGCTTGAACAGCAGAGTGTTAATGAGCTATCACCATGGTAAGTCTGTATATCTTTAAAACCTCTCATCACAGTTTGCTAAAGATCAGACTGGTAGAGGAAGTGGAGCTTGAAGGAGTCTATTTCTGTAAAAACACACTTGATCAGGGTCAAGGTCATGGACGTGCCATACCACAGCTGAGCTACTCTCCCATCAGCACTCTAGATTAAAGCACACACATACACTTTAGTGTGTGTATATACATAATACGGTGGACATTTATATGGATATGTGGGCAGCTCAGCATGCAAGCATGCAGAATATTACAGATTAATAAAGGAACACGGACAATTATTTGTTTAATTTTATGTATCATCTCAGTTTATGACTGTTACAACACGTCCTCACTCTCAACTCGTCAAACACTAGATGCTAATGATCCAGTATTTTTATGATATGCAAATCTGCACACCATTCACTTTGATTAAGATGGCTTTGCGCAGGTTGGAAAATACAGATTAATCCAGAAAAGGCACATCACTGATTGCTTATGTCTTACAAACCTGCTCCATTTGTTTCTACAGTTATGTTTGAGGTGGCTGTTATGATTTGTTGTACGTTTAGTGGTGGCACACTATCCACTTTAATTACAACAGGTTCATGCAGGCACAACAAATTCAGTTCATTTTGCCACAGACACCAAAAAATAATTTGTGTATCCACTCTGGATTTGGATGTGCTCCAAAATGTAATGGGTTCTACCTTGGCCCATACTACACCATAAATATCATAAATGTCGTGCCAGTAGTTTTTCCCACAGTCCACAAAAAAAAGCATAATCTCCTTGGCAGAGATAACTATTATACTACACATACTAATTCTACTCAGACTAATCTGCACCCCCTACAGGAAAAGAAAGTTGCTCCACCTGCAGGTAATACATTTTACAGCGGTAGCTATTATTTAATGTAGTGGCTGTTTTATCAGTTTGTTATTGGGATTCTTCTGATATTTTACGCTTGAAACACCTATTAGTTAAAGTGAAATACAGCAGTAAAAACAACCTCATTGTATCGCACTAACCTTCATTAGAAATTAAATAATCAAACAGAAGTTTGTCATTTATTTTGGTTTCTAAACATCTATGAACTAGTCATCACATTAAGCCATTTCAGGCACTTGTCCATCAGACATGAGCCACAGTAATGAATAATTCACAATCTGTAAATACATTGGAAACATTTGGGACTGCCGTTCTGTAGTTCTACAATATTAGCTGGGTCTGCATGGTTTTAGGTTCTTCACCACCTCTGTGTCTTTGCTACTCATAGAGGACTGCTTGTTTATACTCTAGCGTTTGCAGAGTTTATGTGAATTAATGGAGATCTAGGTCTCTTTGCTGACCTGAGGCCATTACAGAGTGCAGCCCATAATAAAAAACGTGGTTAGAGTGCCAGCTAGATCTCCCTATGGTACGCTAGGTAGGAACATGGTGGGAATATGGAAAGCTCAGGATTTAGCAGACTGAATTTGAATGAGCCGGCAGGCTACTTTGAACCTTTCAGAGTACCCTTGCTCATTCAGGGTGTGCTGTTGTCTCGTCACCCCCATCATCGATTACCCTCAGGGCAAAAGTGAAAAATGGATCCATGCTTGCCTGCAGCCTAGAAAGAAATTCATTGCAGCTTCCTCCAGCAGACCAATTGCTCACCACCTGCCACTTCTGAAGATCTTAACATTTCTCATTATCTTAACAGCTAAATTCCGATTTCATTTGGGATTTTTGCTATATGTTTTTAATATCTAATAGTATGATGGCAACGATAATAGTCATCAGAAGAAAAAGAGAGGACAGTTCTGATGAGAAAATGAAGAATGAGAAAGGCAGACACATTAACAAATCCTGCATTTTGTGATTATTTTTTGAAAGTGGCCATCTTCAGTGCATGCCATAGTTCCTAAGAGATGTGAAGGATGACTCAATCGCACATGTGAGAATGTTCTAGCTCATTTGGTACCACATGCATGAGGCAAATGAGAAGGGGCCAGTTCTGGGGAAATCAATAAGGATATATTTTCGTTTGGCAGTTTGGCAGCTAAGGTGTCAATTAGTTGAAATGCCTATAGATTTTAAGTAGAGTGTCAATTCTAAAACTGCCACAGCAGTGTATCACTCAGTCTGATATTGTTTAATGATGAACGTGTACGTTTATAGTGGGTTATGGATAATGATCAGGTCTGCAACCTCAGTTTCTGTTGTGGTATACTTCTTGCTTTGATGTAAAGCATGAATATTGGATTTGGGACTTTTTTTTTTCTTTTCCTCTTTAAATTGATATCATGCATCACTTTTTTTGCAGTTATGTGGATACTGTTTATGTCAAGCAAGCATATGGCAAATAGAATTTGGGTCCTATGGCTTAATAGAAATAAAATAATGTCTGCATGCTGTGTATATAACTATATAAACTAACATATTGCTGAATAATCTCTCCCGGAGGAGCATGTATAAAGAACATAAAACTGGGTCAAGGCAATTCCATTGTTGCCATCAAATCTATTAGACACCTGGTCCCTGAGGCTGATGTAGACTTGTCTACCTGTAATATAGGTCCTGAAACAGTTTAATGCTGTCCCAAAGAGACTAACCTAGTTTTCCAGATGGCCTATTACAATAACACACCCTGGTCTGTAGTGTTGAAAGCAGCACTTAAACGCAGCAGAAAGAGGATAGACAAATGTTCTGTTGTCATATTCATGTCCTCTCTCCTGCCTTTGCGTCCACAAACTGCAGCTATAATTCATACTTGTGTACAAACACAGTATTATGACAAAAAGTCAAAGTGTCACTTCAGCTAGTGTGTGTTGCAGAATTATGGAATATCAGTCTAAAGTTGACACAGCCAATTTCCAGTGACATTTTGTCCTTTCTTTTTGTGAAACATATCAAAACATTCAGAACAAATGTTTCCAAAGTGTTTTGAAGGCTATTTGTCAGAATGTTTAGATGCTAGTCTAGATGTCATTTTAGCTCACACCACCAGGTGTATGAAGGTATAATTGTAGGAGAAGCTTTAAAGTCAGTATTATGATGCTTTATATATGTATACTCAATCAAATG